AAGTAAGGTAAGCCCATATGATGATTGATAACCAAACGCGGAATATCAGTCAGCAAAAGCTTTTAAAACCCCGGTTTTCGCGCCGCTCTGATCCCTCGATTAATTGATTTTCTGTTACGGAGTTTTATTCCCGTCGGCACACATACACACACCCCTCTCACGAGTTGGATCCTTTTTTCGAGGGTCTTGTGTGGGAGAAGGGAAAACGTCAAGTTTGAGAGGGGACACACTCTCCAGGCACACACTCTCTAGGCACACACTCTCTAGGCACACACACACATCCATATACTCACAACCACACAAACACAAAAGACCAAGCACAAGGGGGCGTGTCTACGAAACAGGTTGGTTTGTTTCCCGATTGATGGGACGAAGTAATCCCATTCATATCTTCATTCGTCTCTCTTTATTTTGGGTATTGTAGCTTCTTATTCTTCTCTTCCCCCTCCTCCCCTTTGTGTAACCAGCGAGAAAAGGGTCAAAGTTACACAAGCTTTAATTTTTTATTTTATTTTTTGCTTTTATTGTATCTCCTCCCTCTTCCCGCCGTGGCGCCCGCCGTGCGCTCATGAGCGGAACCGGGGGCGCGCGCAACGTAAAGAGACAGAGACAGAGACTCGGGAACGACGCCGTGCGACCATGCTCGTCGGGGAAGACAACATACTACGCCGATGACGACAAAAGAGCACGCGGGGATTTCGGGTAGCTTCTGGACCCGGCGCGCTTGCTTTCTTATCTAGGTAGTCGGCAGCTGAATCTTAACTCTACGTGCTTCTCGTGGGCATCTCCGAGTATAGCGATGCTTGAGTACGAGATATTCGGCTGATCGGCTTGGTTCTATCTCCTCCACAATACTCGTCTGTCGTCAGAAAAGTAGAACGCGGCGTGCCATGGTGAGCCGCCGCCGTGATGAGCCATTGCATAGATCAAGTGAAGAGTGCCCGTATACGAGATCCCCTTGGTGACTTGACTCTCCTCGGGCCAGCCCCATCCGAATTCCGGTCGACTAGTACAAAGATTTTACTTCCCGATGAGGCTGTCGGCGAGGACAAGACAGCCCTTCTTAGATTAATGGTGACAACACGGGTTAGCAAGCCTGTCGCGTCCAGCTGCTGTTCGAGAGGTGCTGACCACGATATTGATCTTTGGGGTGCACGGCATGATGCGTCGTTCGGATTCAAAAGTCTGCGGTACGTACCTTGGGTACACCAAAGCTGAGGTGTCACGCCTGGTGGTGAAGGGAGGTGATGCAATGATGCTCATGAGGTAAGGTACTTTACCTTGTATTCTCTTATCGATAAGAGATAAGTAGGCGGGACGTTCTGGATAAGCAGCCGTTCAAGCGCCACAGGCTTCCTGATTCGTTTGTCAGCCGCCCCACGGTGACCGCGCCTCACCTCACTTCAATTTTCATCATCATCGAAGAGTGCCCAGCGTGAAGGGGCGGCGAAATAATAATAATTTCAAAGAAAATTCATTGCCGTTGTCGCCAACTTTTTTTTTTTTCAACAACAAGGCGACTGGAATATTGCCAAATCAGAAAAAATGACGAGCCTTAAGCGTTCGTTCGAGACGGACCCTTTCGCCGCCAATATCTCGAGCAAGGTCTACGTCCGTTCGACGAGAAAGGGCAAGGTTCAGAAGATTGTGAGGGAGGTTTACCTGCGTCAAGATATCCCCTGCTCGTCAAAGCTGTGCCGGGCCTGCCTGCAGACGGCGCCCAGAGATGCAGCCAACAATGGTGAGTTTACCCCATTTTCGATTTTACCGCACGAATATGACAGCTAAACGCCGCCTCCCAGTTCAACCGTTCATCCTCTCTGACAAGCCGGCGGGGACAAAGGCGTTCCCCCAGGGGCACTATATCGTCCCCGACACCAATGCGTTGCTGAACGCCATGGACCTCTTTGAGCAGAGCTCGGCTTTCTACGACGTGGTCATTCTGCAGACGGTGCTCGAGGAGCTGCGCAACCGCTCTTTGCCCCTGTACAACCGCCTCGTCGGCCTCACAAAAAGCGAGGACAAGCGCTTCTACGTCTTCTTCAACGACTTCCGCCTTGAGACGTACGTTAACCGGGAGTCCAATGAGACGGTCAACGACCGCAACGACCGCGCCGTGCGCAAGGCGGTCAAGTGGTACGCCGACCACCTGGCGCAGACAAAGGCCAAGACGGTGCCCGCCGTCGTGATGCTCAGCGACGACCAGGACTGCCTGAGGAAGGCCAAGACCGAAGGTGTCGCGGCCATGTCTCTCTCCGAGTACGTCGGCGGTCTCGAGGATGGCGAGAGGCTGCTGGACATGATTGCCGAGTCGCGGAACTCGAGCTTTTCCAAGAAGCCCGCCGGCCCGGTCTACCCGGAATACTTTACCATGTCGAAGCTGATGACCGGCGTCAAGGCCGGTCTTCTTCACCAGGGCATTTTCAACGTCTCGCCATACAACTACCTGGAGGGATCCATTCACGTACCCGCATTTCCCAAACCTCTCATCGTCCTCGGCAGAGAGAACATCAACCGAGCCGTCAGCGGAGACGTTGTCGTGGTTGAGGTTCTGCCAAAAGACCAGTGGAAGGAGCCGTCGACCAAGATCATCGAAGAAGAGGCGGTTACGCGCGACGAGAACGCCGACGGGGAGGAAGCGCAGGACTTCGTCTCGGAAAAGGAGCGCAAGGCGCTGCAGGAGGAGGTGAAGAAGACGCACAAGAACAGCACCGAGGGCCGGCCGCAACCGACGGCAAAGGTCGTCGGCGTCATCAAGCGCAACTGGCGGCAGTACGTCGGGCACATTGACCCTTCGTCTGCGAGCAAGAGTGGTGGCCAGGGCCGCAAGTCGGACAACGTTTTCCTCATCCCCATGGATAAGCGCATCCCCAAGATCAAGTTGCGCTCAAGACAGGTTTCCGAACTTCTTGGCAAGCGCTTGTTGGTCACGATTGACGCGTGGGACCGCGATTCCCGGCACCCCGTGGGCCACTTTGTGCGTTCGCTTGGTGAGCTCGAGACCAAGGCTGCGGAGACGGAGGCCCTGCTGCTAGAGTACGACGTGCAGTACCGTCCCTTCCCCAAGACGGTGCTCGACTGTCTGCCAAAGGAGGGCCACGACTGGAGAGTACCACAGAGCCTGGAAGACCCCGGCTGGAGGGACAGAGAGGATCTCCGCAAGCTCCTCATTTGCAGTATCGACCCCATCGGCTGCCAGGATATCGACGACGCTCTCCATGCCAGGCCTCTCCCCAACGGAAACTTTGAGGTTGGCGTCCACATTGCCGACGTCTCCCACTTTGTCAAGCCCGCCAATGCCATGGACACGGAGGCCAGCTTGCGAGGCACCACGGTGTACCTGGTCGACAAGAGAATCGACATGTTGCCGATGCTTCTCGGTACCGACCTGTGCTCGCTGAAACCCTATGTCGAGCGTTACGCCTTTTCCTGTATCTGGGAGATGAACGCCAACGCAGACGTCGTCGGCGCCCGCTTCACCAAGTCGGTCATCCAGTCCAAGGAGGCGTTCAGCTACGAGGCGGCCCAGCTCCGCGTCGACGACGCCTCGCAGCAGGACGACCTCACCAACAGCATCAGGACGCTCATGATGCTGTCCAAGAAGCTGAAGCAGAAGCGCATGGACGCCGGCGCCCTCAGCCTGTCCTCCCCCGAGGTCAAGGTGCAGATGGAGTCGGAGACGTCGGACCCCATCGACGTCAAGACGAAGCAGCACCTCGACACCATGTCCCTCGTCGAGGAGTTCATGCTGCTCGCCAACGTCAGCGTCGCCGCAAAGATCTACGAGGCCTTCCCCCAGACCGCCATCCTCCGCCGCCACGGCGCGCCGCCAAAGACAAACTTTGACGAGCTCTCGAACCAGCTGCGCGTCAAAAAGGGCCTCGAGCTCCGCGTCGACTCGAGCAAGGCCCTCGCCGACTCGCTCGACACCTGCGTCGATCCCGTCGACCCCTTCTTCAACACCCTCGTCCGCATCATGGCCACCCGCTGCATGATGTCGGCCGAGTACTTTTGCTCGGGGACCCAGGCCTACCCCGAATTCCGCCACTACGGCCTCGCCTCGGAAATCTACACGCACTTCACCTCCCCCATCCGCCGGTACGCCGACCTCGTCGCCCACCGCCAACTCGCCGCCGCCATCGGCTACGAGGCCATCCACCCGGCCGTCCGCAGCCGCGGCCGCCTCGAGGCCGTATGCAAGAACATCAACGTCCGCCACCGCAACGCCCAGCTCGCGGGCCGCGCCAGCATCGCCTACTACGTCGGCCAGGCCCTCAAGGGCCGCGTCGCCGAGGAGGAGGCCTTTGTCATGAAGATCTTCAGCAACGGCTTCGTCGTGTTGGTCCCGCGATTCGGTATCGAGGGACTCATTCGGCTGCGGGACCTCGCGGAGCCGGAGCCAGAGAGTACCTTTGACGCGGAGAATTACGTCCTCACCACGAGCGGGAGCAAAGAGTTGCGGGTGGAGCTGTTCCAAAAGGTCAAGGTCAAGGTTACGGATGAGAAGGACGAGATGACGGGCAAGAGGGGTGTCAAGATGGAGCTTGTTAGCGTTTGAGGGGGCTCTGAGATGTGGGAATAAAAATACGGAAGTCTTGGGTGTTTTGAGATGTTGAAGTAGAAAGACGGCAAGAGATTTAGCCAACCTAAAAGTTCTAGAAATGAACGCGTTTATTTTATGTCTATTCTTGTTCTGCAGTGCCTGACATGTGAAATGGGAATAGAACTGGCCTCTGCACATTTCCATGCCTCGAAGCTATGTTTCCAAGGAAGTACCGTGTGATACCACAAGTTTTGGGGCTCAGCATGACACTGCGCACCAAGATAGTATCAGACCATGTTTGCTTCTCTAGAGTATCGTACATAGACTGTGGAGGCACATATCATTCATCATCAAGCTCAGCCCGCGTCCATCTCCACCCTTAACCTCGTATACTACAAATCCGACTACAGATATAAACACACCAAACCCGAAAACCACCGAGAAACGAATATTATGCTCAACGAGCCTGACGAACAGGCTTATGAACCTGGTCCCACAAAGAACACTTCCGGAGCAAAGACCTAAGATCTCCCTGCGTCTCCGGATCGACGGGCAACTTAGACACGAGGTCCTGTCCGTAATCGAAGTCGAGCCACGGCTGAAGGGCTTTGCGGTTGTGAATCATGCGCAACACAAACTCCTGCGTCCACACCGATGGCGCCCAGACCAGCTCTTCCAGGCCCTGGCCCATGGCTTCCTTGACGAGCTCGATCCACGGCTTCCTCGACCGGATCGCGGGCTTGTTCCGCCTGCGTACGACGATGGTTGTCACGCGCTGCTGCAAGCTCATGTGCGGCAGGTCCGGGCAGTCGTCGAGGACGTGAAGCTTCGTGTTGTGGATCGGACATCCCATGATGGTACCGTTGTCGTCGGGAAAGACGCAGTCGCCGAGCCAATGTCCGGCGTGGCCGCAGTTGGAGCAGATATTAGTCGGGTTAAAGCGGTCACCGTACAGAAATTGTGAGGTAGTAATTTCGTTCTGGGTCCATTCCTCGCTTGTCATCTTCACTTTGCCATGGAAGGGCGGCTTGTGACGGCGGGTGTCGGTGTCGTGGTAGACCTTATTTCGCTTCTGACCACCATTGCTCAGGTACTGGGAGGGTCTCGAGTCCGCTGCGGGAGCCACGCGAGCGTGAGGCGGCGCCGACCTCGCTTCGTCTTGGGAGGTTCTGTCGTGTGGCCTTTTCTGTATATGGTGGGCGTTGTATCTACCACTGGAGGTGCCCTGGAATGATCTCGTAGAGGAACTTTGGTGGTATCCCCCCCTATGGACACCCGAATGGGTAGCAACGGGTTGCCGTATATCTCGATTGGTGTCGTCGCGATGGCCACGGTCAAAGGACCCAGTATGATCGAGGCGGTTTTCGTTCCAATCACCGCGATCGATGGAGTTGCTTCCATATCTGGAGGGAGGCCTGATGAGTTGCTCGTCACGATCAGGGTGCATGCTATACTGATTCTCGAGCTTCTCAAGATTAGAGTAGGACCCCGACTTGGAGTCGTTGAGGTTGGGTTGTACAGGCGAGTATGACGTGCCTTGACATTCTCGATCAGAAGACCTCTCTAGCATCGACAGCTTTTCCTTCAGCTTCTGAATCTCCACACTACGCTCCTTGTCGTTCATTTGGACAAATTCGCTTCCAGGCGTGTTGTGTTCCTTTACCAGGCTCTGTGACGGTCTCATGTCGTGTGGTTGCATCGACATAGTGCCGTGTGGAACATCGTTCGTCTTGGATTTCTTGACCGGGTTGCTGTCTCTTCCCTCCCCCGTTCTGGACCGTCGACCGTCGTCAGGCCCGTAGTTCAAAGCATCAGGGCTTGAAATGGGGGGCCTAGATCTCTTCATCTCGAGAGATTGTTCTGACTTGGTCGTGGCAGGGATAATGCTGTGAAGGTAGGCCGCTGCGATCGGTAGGACACGCAAAGCGTGTTGAGCGAGAGAGCTTCTGGCGAGAACGTAGACAGAGACCTTTCTACTTTTTCATGGGCAGCGCTTTGAAAAACCTTGACCAGTGTGCTATTGTTGTGTGGATATGGAAAACAGCGTGACGTTTTGAGGTGAAGGGGAGAGTGAAGCAGAAGGAGAGGCGTTTGCGGGAAGGAGGAAAACGGGGACGACCTCGCCGACCTCTAGCATCTGTACGTCACGTGGGTACGTACTCTGAGTGAACTGCAATATACTAAGGTAGGTAGGTCCCGAGCATGATTCAACTGTTTCGGGAAGGGGCGTTTGATAGGGAAGGTGGACGATGCAGAAGTCACCTACCTACCTTACCGCATCTGCCCAGGTCATGAACATGGTCTCAACGACTGCCTCCGACGTGGCTTCGCGCGTGAATGAAAGCAAATTCCTTATTACTTACCAAGGCAGCTTTATGCGCGATTCGGTTTTGAGAGCAGGTGGGAATATGCCACTACATAGACCTACCATGGACTGATCTAAAAACAATATTCAAGATCCTTAATATGAATGGAACAGCCTTTACGAAGAGTTGATATTCGAATTAACCGAAGTCAGTAGGATTGTCAAGGATATAGAGCAACGTGAAGTTTCTTACAAAACGAGGGCGCCGTTGGGAAACAGTCCCGTCATATACCTAGTTGATATAATAAAGCGAGTGTTTTATAAGAAAACGACGATACAGCATTGCTTGCCATTTCACGAATGGCCTACCTGAATGGAGAACGCCTATCTTTTCGAGTTCCCGCGAATGTAATTTGGAAAGTAATATCAAAGGCAACGAGAGCTTCATCAGTCTTAACAGCCCCGTTCTATTACTTTCACTACCATCATCACTACTATGACTAGTATTATAATGAGTGTCAATCAGTAGTCTTTGGAGAATATTCGTTATATAGTATCTGTGGAATAACAACCGTGAATGAGAAAGTTATAATATATACTGTAGGTAGCGATTTATTTTATCGCCCACTTGTCTGAGACCTGACTTCTCCTGGGCGAGTGTCCCACACCACTCAGTGAATGCATTCCCAAATGAGAAGCAAGCGCCTCGGTCGTTCCTTCCTACAATATTCAGCCTTCACCTTCACCACCTTCTTCTCCTCCACAACCCGCCCAAATCAACTTCCAGATCGCACAACTGTCCAAAGTCAATCTCCTCCCCAGGTTTGCCCTTCAAAAGTGCACCTCATACCAGCTGAATTACTGACATTTCATCCGCAGAGTGACTTAAGATGGAAAATGACGACGTGTCTGTCGCGGAGGCGTCCTCTCAACCACCGGCCAAGCGAGTCAAACTGTCGTCACCTGCCCCCAACAACATCAAGCCCGTCTTCGGACGCCTCGACGTCGCCCTGAATACCGACGATTCTGGAGACATCACTGTCAATATCAGCAACACCAGGCGCCTTGGCAAGCCCGTGATCGACCATCTTTCAGATGAGACTTTCGCTTTTCATGGATCTCGCCAGCAGGCCCATGCCATGCTCGACAGAATTCTGGATCACAGCGAGAATACAATTATTATGGGCATGGTGAGCCTTCAACCAGATACCAGCAAGGCTGCACCGCAGTCAAAGGTGCCGGCGACTATCCAGACATTGGATTTGACAGGTGCGACAGCTGCGGCATCCGAGAACCCGACAGCCACAAAGCCACACACGCCTACGACTGCGAAGTCAGCGACGTCTACTGCCACGGAGAAAGAGACATCTGCCCGTGAGGAACCATCAACACCCTCGGTCACGCACCAGTCTCAGCAGCCCCCTAAAGTCGCCGCCAAGCCCAAACCACTTGCGCCTGAGAATTCATCGCTTGTTCTCTCTCGGGGCCATCTGGAAATTGCCTGGTACGGCTGGCAGACTGGTGGACGGCGGAGCATGAAGTTACCGACCCTGCTAGGGAAACTCCCTGAAAACAACCACCCAAATCCCTCGGTGGAGTGCATGGTGCTTCGGAACTTAGCTGGAAAGAAGCCAGTCATGATGATCGGCGAATTTGAAGGCATTGTGCATTCCTTTATGTTTGAACACTTCAGGCATAATTTGCAGAGGAATGTCCCCCAGATCAGAGAGGATCTGTTGCATTTCCTGATCTTGAAGCGACTGTGGTTCTACCCTGGTTAGTGGTTCAATTATCCTCTGAATACGAAGCCGGGGCTTGCTGACAATCGGACTATTGGGAGCATAAGATGATGGCAAAGATGGCGATTTCCCTTGGGCTACGATGGAACCCAAGTCGTCTGAAGGCCGGCCTAGCTTAGCTTACGCGACTTTCAAGAAGTACAACGGTGTTGGGGCCAACTCAAGATTCTCAATCCTCAACCGACACCGCGAAAAACTGGAATCGACATGGCAACATGATCCTGCAAGTCAATAGACGAGCGCGAAGTTCTCAACTGCTTGGCTGTGATTCGGTATTGCATCATGGCCCTCTTGTGGATCACCATCTGAATGCACGCCTTGCAATGTCGTTGGACGGATGGAAAGCAGGAGGTCGCTGGGGATGACAGGATTATTTGTGATCCCATAAGGAACAAATCAAAGGAGAGCAAGGGACATTCGGTATGAAGGTGTATATGCAGATTTGAACGAGGACAACGGGCTAAATCGTCATTCTTTGCTTTTTTATTTTCCCTTGGACCGCCCCCATAAACGCCATGTGAAATAAAACGAGGAATCTAACAGCCAGCCAGGCTTTTCATAAGGGAATTCAAACCCAAGAAATGGGACCACAGCATCTCCTCCGCTTTCTCTTTTGACATCATGTACTCCTCCCCTTTCCTTCCACTATGTTCTCTCCATTACTATACCGCAACACCCCTTACTGTTCCATCGCCTCATCCTCATCGCCAGCAGCAGCAAGACCACTGAATAAGTCACCAAGGTCAAACTCCTTGGCCCACTCCGTGACAATAGTCTTCTGGTCCGCAGCAGCAACGTCGTCAGCGACGGGGGCAGCAGGTGCGGCACCCTTGACATCGCTCTGGACAGCCAGGACAGGCGCCTCAACCCAACCCTGGATGCGGCCGTCGCGCCAGTCAGTGACGACGGTCATGGCGGCGGCGTTGATGTTGGGGATACCGCCGCGTCCCAGACGACCGCGCTTCCGCGCGACCTGCACCAGGAAATCGGTCGTGATGTCGCCGTCGGTACGGCTGGGCAGCAGCGTCGGCAGGTCGTAGGCGTCGGTCAGCTTCTGCAGCAGGTCGGGGGAAGCGGCGAGGCGGCGGAGGAGGAGGGTGACGGCCGGGATGGGGTCCTCGATGTTCTTGGGCGGGACGGCGTTGAGGAGCACGAGGTGGGCGTGGGCGTCGGTCGCGTTCTTGAGGGAGACGAGGCCCGATGTGGAGGCGTTCTTGGCGGAGGGGAATACGATACCGGGGGAGTCGAGGAGGGTGAGCTTGCTGTCGATCTTGACGGCGCGGATGCTCGTGGTGACGCCGGCCTCGGCGCCGGCGGGGCAGGCCTTTGAGGCGCCGCGGCCACCGGAGAGACGGCCGAGGAGGGCGTTGATGACGGAGGACTTGCCGACGTTGGGGTAGCCGATGACGCCGACGGAGACGGCGCGCTTGAGCTGCTTGCTGGCGGCGTAGGACTTGAGGGCGCGGAAGAGGTCGGACGACGTCTTTTGGACGGTGAGCTCCTTGTGGTTAAAGGTGTGGGCGTTGGGCGCCGGGTTGGAGGCGCGCAGGGGCAGGGTCGGGAAGGAGCGGCGGAGGTGGACGAGCCAGTCCTTGAGGACCTTGGGGGGCACGAGATCGATCTTGTTGACGACGAGGATGAGGCGCTTGCCGCCGCTGGCGGCGGCCATGACGCTGCGCTCGACGTCGCGGGAGCGAGTGGATTCTGGGTCGCGAGCGTCGAGGACGTAGAGGATGACGTCGGCCTGCTCGACGACGTTCTTGAAGACCTTGTCAAAGGCCTTGCGGGAGGTGGCGTTGCCGACGGGGATCTCGGCGGGCGCGTCAGAGTCGTCGCCCGAGTCGTCGTCCGAGTCCATCTCGTCGTCATCGTCGTCGCGCAACTCCTTCTCGTACGTCTCGGCGGCGGCCCTCGCGCTGCGCAGAAGGGCGGCCATGGGGTTCGAGTCGTCGCCGTCGTCCTCCTCATCGTCGTCCTCAACCATCATGTCGTCGTCGGCCACGTCGACCTGCTGTCCGGTCGCACCAGCGACGGTGGCGCCCGTCTTGGCGGCCTTTGCCATTTCGCGACGCTTCTGGTTCTCCTCCTGCTTGCGCAGCTTGTTCTCTTCAATCTCCTCGAGGATCTTCTCCTTGTAGGGGAACAGGTTCGGAATACCCGGGTCCTTCTTGAGCTTGGTGCGCCATTCCGGGTTCTGTTTGGCCTTCTTTCTGTCTTTCCTCTGCTTCGCCGCCGACTTCTTCTCGATCTTGTGGCGAAGGCGAACCGTCGTCCTCTTGGACTTTGGCTCTGCGACGATGCTGTTAGTCAAAGAGGCATAACACAAAAGACGTTGAACAATTCATAGGGTACAGTCACATACTCTTGGGTTTGTTGATTGAGCCAGCCATCGTGATATCTAACCAAGGTGATTTGGCAAGATTTTTGTTGTATGGGGGTGAGCTTCGGTTGGTACTTTGCTACCTCGACCGCCGCAAAACTTTCCTGGCGCTTCGCTCAGTCCTTGCAGTGCAACTTTCAAAAATTTAGTGGGAGGTCGGGTTCTGCCGGAGCACACCGCTCCTGCTATCGCTATCGCTCCCCACCAAGATGTCCTCACCGCCTGCCACTAATCCCAATGAAGGAGCCCCGCCATGGTCAACTTTGCCCCGCGACGGCTGACATAATAAAGAAATGTCGATGGGGAAAAAAGGCGTGCTGGAACCGGTGGACCGCAGACGCTCGGTGCTGCCGCAGTGCCGCTGCTGCAGCGTCAGAGAGGGCCCTTCCGGTGGACAAAAATGCCCGTCTCGGTGTTTTTGGCCGCTGGAAAGATGCCGCAGCTCAAATAGTGGGCTGGCGAAAGGCGGATTACCAAGGTTGTCGTCGCCGACTCGGAACTTCAACGATCCTTTCAGAGTCATATCTCACTCAACTTCAGCTCATAATCTCAACTAGACTCATGGAAACGATCACTTTCTCTTCACTGCCCATCTTAGATCACATAAAAAGACCGTAAACATAGACCCAACACATAAATCATTCATCTCTTCAGGTATACACTCACAACTCACATCAGAGGGATAACCGCTTACCCCATCTACCAGACTCAACCATGTCGTACACGGCCCCTCCACAACGCATCACCTTTGATGGCTTCCTCTTCGACATGGACGGCACCATCATCGACTCAACAGAGGCCGTCGTGAAGCACTGGCATACGTAAGGAAGCCAACGGTCTCCACCGGTTCATCAGCATCATCATCACCATTCCATCCCTTGCATGAGGGGTTGGTTGTTGCGCCCTCTCTCTCTCTCATCTCATCTCTCTCTCGAAAAAAAACCCACTAACACCGGCCTTCTTCTTCTCTCCCTTGCAGCGTCGGCAACGAAATAGGAGTCGCGCCCGAAGTCATCCTCGAGACCTCGCACGGCCGCCGGAGTATCGACATCTTGAAGATTCTGGCCCCTGAAAAAGCAAATTGGGAGTGTGAGTACCTACCTACACACAAACACACACACACACACGCCAAAAAAAATCTCAGATCTCTGTTTTGTCTGATCTCGTGTTTTTGGTTCCTGTTCCTGATTCTAACCTTCCCCCTTGCCTTGCTTCACCTACCTAAACACGACTCACCGGCGCGCCGTCTGTCAGGTTTCCCCAACTTTTATTCATGCATGTTCACCTACATGACGCAAGGGGGTTATGGGGGATGGTGATGAACTCAGGGGTTCGCGAAGAAAAGGCTAACAGGAGATGAACAGACACGCGTGAGATGGAGGGCCGCCTCCCGAAACTCTACGGAGGAGACGCCGTCGAGATCCCTGGGGCAAGGGCACTCCTCGACGCCCTCATCGCGAAATCGGCTCCCTGGGCCATCGTCACCTCGGGGACGGAACCCCTTGTGGGCGGGTGGCTCGACGCGCTCAAGCTGCCGCAGCCTCAACACCTCGTCACCGCCGAGTCCGTCGAAAACGGCAAGCCGGACCCGACCTGCTACCGCATCGGCCGCGAAAAGCTCGGCCTACAGGACGCGTCCAAGCAGGTGCTCGTCCTCGAGGACAGCCCCGCCGGCATCAGGGCCGGTAAGGAGGCCGGGTGCAAGGTGCTGGGCCTCGTCACGAGCCACACCGTTGAGCAGGTCGCGAGCGCGGAGCCCGATTGGATCGTCAGAGACCTCGATTCCGTAAAGGTCGTGGAGAGTCGCGACGGTGTCGTCACGCTAGAGTTTACCGACGCCCTCGTTTCGAAGCCTTAGTGTAGTGTCTATGACTGATTGACTACTCTGGTGTGAGGAATGGAGGCTCTGCTAATAAATCGATAGAGCAAGAATAGACTTAGCTTGTTTAGACTTTAGTATGACAACATCGTACGCTTTCGACCGTTCCCTTGGCCCTTGGAGCCAAATAAGTCCTTGGAGCCCCATACAAGGGAGTAAAGGACAGAGATGATGAACGGCAAAACCTATCAACCGGCCAGTGCGCGAGAAAGGGCAAACACAAACTAATCTTCTTTCCCCGCCGTCGTCTCATCGAGGGAGCACTTGTTGGATTCAGATGAGAAATAGTTCTTGAAACGGAGTTCCCTTTCTCCCAAGCCTGAAGGTCCCTAAAAAATAAAAAAAAATAAAAAAAAAGACGGTGTCGCGTGAGTTCCGTGATGTTTATTTTGTTCCGGGGCAGCAGCTCAGTGCAACAACAAAACAAACAACATCATCATCCGTCTACCTTCACCGAAGGGGGGCGTGTGCCGAACCGAGTTGAGGTACCCCAAAGGGCCCAAGACAATGTCTTTGGCCTTGGTGACAAAGTCCCGCGTATGTTGTGTACTCGACATGTGCAACCCCAGGATCCAAGAATACCCTTCTTCGGCCGAGTCAGGTGAGTCCATGACTTCAACTCGCCTGGCCGCCGCTCCTTTGATTTCGCCTACAAACGCGGGAGAGTATTGGAACTGGCCACAGGGCTTCCACAAAGTAGCTTGCGTCGGCGATGATCCAGCT